GGGAAAAATTGTTTCTGATAATAGTAAATATATTAGGACATCTAAAGGGGTAGGAGGGATTAACTTTCAATTTCCTCCATGGGGGTGTTTGCTGGAATGATCCAATATAACAGTGTTTTTTTTTCAAATCTAATCAAGCTGTCAAATTGTCAATCCTTGTACATGGGGAGGGGCAATTTTGGAGAAAGAAAAATTGTGACCAATCATGTTGGGGGTCCACCTGTAGGCTTGGCCATAGGCATCAGGGGTGAAACTAGCCCCTTTTAATTAGGGAGGTGTCTGCTAGAATTGCCCTGCGATAGCCGATGATGCCCTGCACAAAATGTTTTTTTTGCACAGACATTCACACCCCCCCCCCATACCTTCCCTCAAGTTTCGCCCCTGATAGGCATACAGGGCGGGGCCCGATTGTTGGGCAGACTAAGCCAGTTGGGCAATATTTACTTCACAGTTGAGCAATATTGGTTTATTATAAAAATAAATAGGAGAAATTATTCTCTCAATATTGGGGGAAATATGCTGTATAATGATTGAAAATTTAGTTCATTTTGATTAACAGTCATTTAATATATGTGCTATCAACAGTTTCTTTATGGTATTAAGTAACAGTTTACAATGTTTGTACATTAGAGATTTAGAGGCACTAATAACTCAATAATAAATAGGCATCCTCAAATTGGGAATATTTGTATTAAAATTTAAATATTTGTGTATAATTAATAATTTATCCTATTCCAATACAAAATGCAATAATATAGAACACACAATTTATCAAATAAAGGTAAAAAAGGTATTAAAAACTTTATTATGTAATATTTACATTGAATATCGTGGTTGAAGTTGTAGATTTATACTTGAAATTTCAATTTTCGAACGAGAAATGTTTCGCTTTTATTATGTTAAATTTTGTACTTTGTTCGCCATTCTTGCTTATTTACAAATACAAATAGTCCATTCCTTCTTTTGTTCTTTTCAAAATAGCCCAGAATTTGGTTTAAAAAAGTATTTTCATGCAAAAACCAGCATTTAACTTTTTTTTATATACACTCCTTCAGTTGTGATAGCAGCCATGTTGCAAAATATCACCCGGTTATTAAATGAATAACTTCCGGTACTTTCATTGTATTCGCATTGACCAATCAAATCACGTTCTGAGTTGGATTATCCCAGGGCTTCTGAGAGCAATAAGCGCAGAAGCCCTGGGTACGAGGTTGGTTTGCATTGGAATATTGCCACAGCCGATAGGAGCATTGCAAATTCCCTCAAGGGATTTGCAAACAGTTTTTCAAATTTGCAATATTAATTAGGAAAATTCCAAATGAGTTACGAAGTCAAAAGAGGAACGCTTCACGTAGTTTACTTGTAACTGTCACTAATAAAGGCGCATTAACTGAATACATTAGTTAGTCATAGATAATATAATGGGAGGGTTTGATGGTGCAATGCTTGAGGTTTAAAAATATTGGAGGCGAAACCAGGATTCATAATTAATTGTGTAAACGTTCTCTGGTTAAAAATATTTATTTGTTACAAGCTTTCGACTGGCAGTCTGCAGTCTTCGACGGGTAGCTAGATTAATAATGCGCTAGTGATATAAGATATGATATGCAGTAAATAGTGCTATATAATAGCGGTTTACAATTATATTTACTGACACAAAAGACAATTACTGACAGTTCCGCCACCGTATAAGATTGGTGACTAATTATATATTGTGCAGAATTTAACTTTTTTGTCAAAAAGCGGCATATGTTTTGAGTTGTTATCGGCGTCTTCCGTGCATGTCGATAGCTGCCCTTTCCAATTACTTTTCCGTTTTTAAAATCAATTCTGTGATCGTTTGCCCACGCATGATTCGCGATATTAGATCCACTCTTGCATTTTTCCACGTTTTGTTCGTGCTCTCTTCTTCTTGTTCTGAAGGCTCTGCCTGTCTCGCCAACGTAACCCCACGAGAAATCTGAACAAATTAATCTAGTAGACTACGTTGGTCTGGTTCTCAGGTAGTGGTCGGTCTTTTGTTGAGTGAAACATTTGTTCTAGTGTGCGGAGAGTGTTCGCAGTTACTCGGATGTCGTGCGCCTCAGTGGTTCTGTTAGTCCTTTGATGTACGGTAGGACGGCGTAAATACAATTGGTCTTCGGTTCCACAAAGTCGAAAAACGCCATGGCCAGAAATCTGGGTGAGTATGGCGGATTTGTGGCGAATATAATCAAGTTCTATATATTCCAACATGGCGGATATATGAGAGTTGTATATGGAGAAATTAAATTAAGAGAACTATCTTCATCCTGTTACATATTTTCAACCGTGTACACATCTATCTGGGTGTTGTATGAGCTCAAGAGCAAAAACATTTTCGTAATTATATAGAATTATGTCTGCCACGTACTTCCCAGACAAACGGCATTAGTTCATCTTTAAAATACAATCGTAACGCTTATCCTTAGTAATTTGTAAGAATTTTGCAAATCAACGAATTTCAAGTCAAAATTACTAAGCGAAAACTAACGTTAAAGCAGGGTGCACACATCTCATTTTGACTCTCGAAAACTTCTCTTTCGTTTATGAAATACTGGCATCTTATGCATAAGTCAATTCCAGGAGTAACCATGCATCCCCACGGGAACACACCCGGGAACTTGATTTGATTGGTTACGATAGCGCAAATGTCCGGGTGCAGGGACACAACTAGGAGACTAATGCACGGCCCTTGGGAAAGCTGAGAGTGGAAAATGCCCCACCCCGGGGACGATTTTAAGCGTTAATTAAACTTTTAATGGCATAACTAGATTGCTATGGAACATTATAAAACTTTAATCTTGCTAATAGTGGTTAAAAGGATTTAAACAACGAAATCATAAACTTTTAATAGTTGTATTTAAATGCATTACTTCCAAAAGAAGGTAATATTTGGCAATTTTTGGATAGTTATACCTTCAGATTGATGAATAAAACTTGATAAAGAACTGACTTTTTTCATTTCTAATGCAACCCTTTGTGAAGTGTTGTTGTGAATGTATTTGTCATGAGTCAGCATTTAGTGTATTTCCGGTGAGGAATTGCCTTGCTCCGGCTCAATGTTCATTCCAGAACGGAAATGTCGGACAAAAATATTTCGAAACCTGATCTGCAATTTAAATTAAACATTGAAAGCCCATCTCTTCCGTGTGTGGGGAAACTTTATTCAAAGAAAGTACTATTTACTGTCGATCTACTACGTCCAGTACTAAGGTTTTCGCATCAGTGACGTTCATGAGAATTCACATTCGAAATCAACTACGTCTACGGAGACAGAGTTTAACTTTGTGATGGCTGGTGATAAAAAAAGAAGCTATACTGAACTGCTTGAAATGGCAATTCCTGTCAGTTCTTTTGCCATTTAAGATTCATTTCTAGTAAAGAAGGAAATCAACGATACTCTTAGGAAAATTTGTGGTTCAGTAAAGTCTCAATACAAGAAGGTACAGTTTATTATATTATACAAATTTAATTAATTATTAATTATCTCGCTAGTTAATATTTGGTTGTATTAGTTATTGGCACCATGATACATGTACAGTTTTTATAATTCATTTTACATGTACTTTATCAATGAAAACCAATCATCATAAATCCAATCGAACTATTGATGCTAATCAGTATTTATTAGCTGATGCATATTTAACAATTATTGGATGAGGTCTTTGTGATATGCGGAATTATCAAAGTCGAGGTAAGCGCTATCGCTTACCGATAACGCTTACCGAGACCTTGATAATTTTGCATACCACAAAAACCGAATTCAATAATTGTTTTATTATACATTTGTTTGTTTTAAATAGATACTGCTTGCTAATGATCGCAGGCTCGTTTGCAGATAACTCACGATTTAACTGTAAGCTCTTAGCCAATCAAATTGCTTTTACCAACTACAATGTATAATAATATTGGTTAAATGATATCGATTGACATCAGACGACAGATGACCATCAACAGTCACAAATTGCGTTCAATTTCATTGCAATTTATTGATCAAATGTCATGGCAATACAAACCATTGATTAGTCATTTATGAACTATTTCCAATAACAATGATTCAATTGATATTGATTTTCATCGATTTTAATAATATCGTTGATGTATATACTGGGTGTATAATTTTACAAATTCGATGCATTCTGTTTTATTATTTTTTATATAGGCAATTGGGCGAAAAAGGTATGAACTTGATGTGGGAACAAGACGTTTCCACATTTTTGAGTATTAGGTGGCCTCATAAGAGCTGTCAGAGTGGAAACTTTTTCACGAAATGACCAAGGAATGAGAAAAAAAGGATGAAATAATTGATGATTTGAGCGCAGCAAATAAAGAACTGAAATCTTACATTGACTGTTTAACAAAATCAGAACGAATAGCATATAAGGGAAAATATATATCCGTTGTGAAAAAAACCCCCAGAATTCTGATTTTTGTCACGTGCAAAAACTGCGCTTTGGTTTGCTGAATCATTTGGGCTTCACATAACCAGTTTAAATGTAACAGAAGCAAGTACTGGAATTGTTCATTCTGTTTCAATGTCTGAATGTGGTGAAACTGTTGCAGATGATCCTACCACATCAACATCGGGCAGTAAACATGGCTTCCATGCATCATCCCAGGCTGACAAAGAGAAGGTAGAAGAAATTTTATTTATCCTTGACAAATTTTGCGTTAGCGATGAGTTTTATCATGAAGTTTCAATGCTTGATAATTCCTTGCCAAAATCATACCTTATAAAGCAAAGACGGGACCAGCTGAACAAACTGTGCCCCATTTCACGCACACCTGAGGAAGTCGATGGGTGCAATTGATTTTCAAGACTCCCACAAGCATCATTTAGAGTCATTTATTTTAAAGAATGCAGACTTCGACTTTGCACATGAGCCAGTAAAAATTAAAATAGCAGGTGTTGGGCGCAGATGATCCGCAACACAAGTTGTGTTATTTTGTCATATTCAATTCTAAATGCATGGTAATAGAGATGGTTTCTTTGCCAAAGGGAATCATAACGTAGCTATCATAAAAGCTTCAAAGGATTATGAAGTTTTTAAGAGATCATTTGGTGATGTTTTTAACAGTGTCAATGAACTGAATGAAAGAAAGCAAATGGAAGTGAATGGTACAAATATTAATTGGAACTCTTCTTAGGGGGAGATTATAAGTTTCTCTTCATGTTGTTATGCATGCATATACTGTAAAGTCCATAAAAATGACAGATAGAATGTGTCATACGATCTTAGTTATTACATTTCACCCCCACCCCCGCCCCCTCCCCTAAAACGTACAATTGAAGAAATAAGTCGGATGTCAGCAAAAACAAAAGATAATTATTGCTGTTGTCACAAGCCATTACTAACTATTGATTTAGAACATATTGTATTAGATGAATTGCATCTGATGCTCAGGGCGGTGGATGTGCTCATTAATAATTTAATGGAAGATGTGCTGGAGTGGAACAAAAGAGAGGATATTTTAAAAAAAATGTGAATAAAGGGAAAACATTTAGAAAACCTAATAGCTGCTGTAAAGTCATGTGGGCTTTGTTTCAACATCTAGACAAAAACTGATACAAAGTCACTTGGTGCATATGAATGTACTAGTCTGCTTGGGAATGATAAAAAGAAACTCGCAAATAAACCTAACTTGGTAATCTAAGAAGAATCATGTGATACTGTCGTGAAAAATTGGAAAGACTTTCATGTCCTCTATCAAATTATTACTAAAAAATTCCAACCTCTGAAGATATACAGGAATATTTCGAGAAAGCGAAGAATTTCTTTCCTTGTCAGGTACTCGCAAAGGGTATATTAGAGCAAGGGTAACTCCTTACATACATCAACCTCGTACCTGGGGTCTTACCTATGGGATAGACCACCGTTGTGGCTGGTCACGTGACTTTACAAAATAACATTGGCTAAGGCGGGAGTTGAACTAAATTGAATTGAATTTATTAAAAACTTGAATGGCAGTTTACAAAAAAGAACCTGCAAAACTCAAGTAACAAGTAACAATAAAAGAGAACAGTTTAGATTAGAATATATAAAAATATATGTACAATACAAATATTGAAATTTTACCCATTATTGTATTAAGTTATTAGATTCAAAAGGTTCAAGGCAAGTCCCATTTCCGCACACAGGTTGGTAAAAACTATCATAAAATCTACTTGTGCCAAAATTGTTCTCGTAAAACCGTTTACACAAGGAAACCCTCCGATCAACAAGAGTGGGCAAATTGAGTTCGTTTAAGCCATCTTTATACGATAAATCAGGATAGATAATCTTCCCAGCCCGGCGTTGAATGTGTTCAATTTGATCGCACAAAATTACAGGCAATGAAAAATGCCACATGTACACGGGGCAGGCATAATCTAGAACGGGTCGTATGAAGCTACGGTATACATTTCTAAGATCCCTCAGTTCTACGCCATTTCGTTTCAATATTCGAATTGCAAATAGACGTTTACTGGCTTTGGAACATATATGGTTAATATGCGTCGTCCACTTTAGATCAGCAGACAAGTACACTCCCAGCAGTTTAACAGTGTAGACAACGTCGAGATGTTGATTGTACGTCTATGAATAAAGCAGGGAACGAATGTGGGATGTTAGACAGAGATATATTGAATTCTTTAGTTTTTGTGACGTTCAATTTCATATTATTCTTAACCGACCATTGATTCACGTAGTCGACCTCACAATGTAACTGGATGACTCCAAGTCAAACGATTTAATGATTTTAGTAACCCCGCAGTCGTCAACATATTTGTACAATGGTGCATTACATCTCAGATCGTTCACCATAATAAGAAAAAAAGGACCTAATTTGGTCCCCTGAGGCACCCCAGCTGCAATTTGTCTCCAACTTGATTTGTGCGTTCCCACTTTTACACGTTGTTGTCTTTCTTGGAGGAAGCTCGAGCACCAGTTTAAAAGCATCGGAGGGACCCCAAGGATCAATAGTTTACTGTATGCATGAGAATTTTGTGGTCAATTCGATCGAAGGGTTTTGCAAAATCGATTAAACAAGTTCTGATCATCGTGTTTGGTGCTTCCAGGGCAGAAAGCCAATAATGAACTAGGTTTACGAGGACATGTGTGGTAGACGATCTTTTGACGCTTCAAAACTGATACGGATCGATATGTGGCATTACAATCGGGGCAAGCCATCTAAACACAAAACTTTCAAGGATTTTACTTAGAACAGTTGTTAAAGAAATCGGTCTAAGATCAGATTCGATAGATTTTGGTTGAGTGATTTTTCCAAGTGGTAAAACATCTGCTGATTTCCATAATTTAGGGACTTCGCCATTCCTTATCCACGCATTAACTAATTAGAAATGGAACAAACTGGCTTACTTAAATTAAGAGCGCAACTTTTCAGCAGCCAATTCGGAAAAAATTGCAATGCTTCCACAAATATCAAATTGCATGCTTCCAGAAACTTAATTTTAATTTAATTTAATTTAAATATTTATATTGCGCGTATTACATAGGAAGATGCTCACTCGCGCATTACATCAAAATAGAAAATTGGAATATTACACTAATTTAAAAACCGCCCTACAATAAATCTAAGAACCTACAGGGCTGCTATATATTATTTGTCCTAATTACGACAGCATGGAGGAAGATGTCTTCATAAAAAATTGGGTTTTAAGCATTTTCTTAAATGATGCAACATTGCAGGCGTTACGAATTTCTGCTGGGAGGCTGTTCCACAGCGTAGGTGCAGCCACTTGGAAGGATCGGTCACCCAAAGTGGTTAATGTTTTTGTTCCCGGTTTCTCAAGCAACAGTTCAGTAGATGATCGTAGATTGTATCTGGATGCAACCTTGAATTTGACGAGTTCAGAAATATATTCAGGAGCGAGACCATTAATTGCGTTATAAGTGATAAGTAATATTTTAACGTTAATTCTGTATCTAACAGGTAAACAGTGTAGTTTACACAGCGCAGGGGTCATGTGATCAAATCGATTAATATTACAAATCAGCCATGCTGCGGAGTTTTGCACTCGTTGGAGTTTGTATATCTGATTGGCGGGCAGACAATACAAGAGACTGTTACAATAGTCGAGTCGACTCGTAACGAAAGCGTTAATAAGAATTTGTGTGGTATCAAAGCTGAGAAATTTTCTGATACCTCTGATATTAAATAGATGGAAAAATGCTGCTTTACAGCATTTATTGATGTGTAAGTCCAATTCCAGTTGCGAATCGAACCAGGAGCCGAGATTCCCTACCACGCTAGATGGTCTGATAATTTCGTCTCCGATGCACAGTGAATCAACACTTACTTTTGCCAACTGTTACCTTGTTCCGATGATGATGAATTTCGTTTTATCATCATTTAACTTCAGTTTGTCTGCTAGCATCCATTTCTTGATGTCTGTGATGCAATCTTGCATTGCCTTAGGGAGCAGTCATTATTAATGCCAGGGGGGGGGGCGGAAGATATTTGGGGGGCTACCAAAAATTTATCAACCAGTTAGGGGGGCTACCAAAAATATCAAAGAAAAGTAGGGGGGGGGCACTAAAAATAATTAACAATTATTCGCTGAAGGCGAGGTGATTATCGGTGAATAAAAACCGAGACGAAGTCGAGGTTTTTATTCACGATAATCACCGAGCTTGAGGTGATTATTTCAGGATAATTTCATAGGTGATTATTTGAAAAAAAAATTAAAATGCACATTTCTTCGTCTTTCAATTGACAAAACGGCCTCGGCCGCCATTTTGAAAATCGCTTAGGTGATTATCACGTAATAATCACCTCAACGGTAACCAATCAGCGTGGAGAATTTTCAATAATCACCTATGTAATTATACTAATGTACAATAATCATAAAACATCAGCAATTATAGTTCACTGTAATATAAATGTCAATGCAATATAAGTATAGGTAATCACACAGGAAGGAGTGCAATTAATTATATTAACACTACGAGTAATATTTGAAAAATGCGCCAAAATTGCACAAGCTGTTAATTATTAATTGCACGACTTTCCCGAGTGATTATTTATTTTATGCATAGCATGATGAAATTCAATAAAATTCAACTTCATTTTCTCAAGAGTTTTTAATTCTTTTGTAAGCAATTTGGCATAAAAAACATGGGAAATGATCATAAACTCATAAAGGCACATAATTTAAACTATATGGACAAATGATTCAAACTCAAATAACATATGAAATTATTAAGAAAATCCTCATAAATTGTAGTTATACAGACTTACATAGTCACTTTTCGCTACATCTCGTCGAGATTATTTCTTAAAACTGTTTCCAGGTATTCTCCACAGGCTCTTTTTGTCATACTATGTTTTTTAAACTCATTCTTGTGCCAAAATTTAGTTCAATTTAATTCGTCCATGTGGTTTTTATACAAGATAAAGATAAATTTCCCCGCCATATTGAACTTGTTGTTTTGATTTCCCGCTCCTCCCACCAAGCCATCGAAAATCAAGCACCACAGTAGCCCAAGATGTCGCTTGCGAGATTGGGCCGCCTCTGATCTTAGTAATTGTTTGGAATGCAAGTTCAATCACAGGGGAAGGAGGGGGGGCTATGAAAATTTATTATATTTAAAGGGGGGGGGGCATAAAAAATATTTTGAAGGAATGAGGGGCCATGAAAAATTTATCATGAGTTTAGAAATATCTTTCGCCCCCCCTGGCATTAATAATGACTGCTCCCTTAATGGCAGCGGATTGCTCGATCATAGACGCAGGTTTGAATGAAATGTATAATTGCGAGTCGTCTGCAAATGCATGAACATCTGGTAGGTGGCTTTCAAGAATAGTAAACAGTTTGCTTGCATAGATGACAAACAAGACAAGAGCCTTGCGGAACACCATACTTCATTTCAAATGATCTGGATTCACCACCGTTGATAGAAATACATTGAGATCTGTTCTCGAGGTATGATTTAAACCAAGTTAGTACACGACCTGTGATACCAAAGCTAGAGCGTAGTCGATTAAGCAGGATCGATGGTATTGTCAACAGTATCGAATACTGCACTCAAAGCAAGCAGTACCAAAAGAGTTACGTGGTGTTTATTCATGTTCATCAAGATGTCATTTTTCACACGTAGAAAAGCAGTTTCAGTACTATGATATTGGCGGTAGGAAGATTGAGCTTTAGGGTAAAGTTTGTGAGCGGTAAGGTGGTCATGGGTTTGATTAAAGATAGCTCGTTCCGTGAGTTTGAAAACAAATGAAAGGTTGCTGATGGGACGAAGATTATCAAATATAACCTCAGCTTTTGACTTCTTTAAGCCTGGGACTTTAGCCAGCTTCCAGTTCTCAGGGAAAGATCCGGATTGCAGGGACAAGTTTATCATTCTTGTAATAACCGGCAGAAGTACATCCAGGCAGTGGACCACAAGATGAGTGGGCATGGGGTCCAAGGAGCATTATTTTTTGCTTGAGTTTGAGATAATCTGGTTAACATCATCCTCAGTTAATGTCTTGAACGAGTCCAGTTGAACATTAGGCATGATCTGTGGTTTACTTGTAGGGTTGTCATAGGTGGCTGCACTGTTCTTGTCTAATGCACTCGTTTTTCTCGGCGAAGAAGTCACCTATATCATTCGCAAGGATTGTATTATCGCTGTATTCTGGAAAATGCAAATCAGTTTCTTGATAAAAAAGAAATTTGGCATACTGGAACAGTTTACGATGATCGCTGCTATTCCTTTGTATGAACGGTTGGTCTTTTTACAACTGTTTTGTGATTCACAGGCGCATGTCGATCCAATGATGATGACAATGTATCATTGAGCTCCATAGAAAGCATGTTCTTGCAGGGATCTAAGTTGGAGAGATCGTTGCAGAGAGCATCGACATTGATGGATTTAACTTTCCTGCAGGATATATGGGTTTTCTTAAGACGAGGCTTGTTAACTAGAAGGTTACAATGAACAGGCATATGATCTGAGAATATACAATCAGTTCGAGGTGGAGAAGTAACCATATTTTCGGAACGTCTTGTTATTATGAGGTCAAGGGTATGTCCACGGATATGAGTTGGGACATTGACATGTTGCTGTAGACCTGTACTCTCGAGTAGCTCCTGAAGTTTGACAGCATCATCGTCATCAGTTACAGCAACATGTATATTGAAGTCACCAGTTATCAAGAGCTGGTCAGTACAGAGGACCGCAGATTCAAGGAATTTAGCAAACTCATCAAAAAATATTGTGGTAGATACGGGATGAATATCGGAGTATGGTATTCTGTAGACAACGACTACGCGAATACGCCGGGACCCTGCTATTATATTCCACTCAGAGTATTCAAAAGATCGGAGTTCTGCAGCGGATACTCTGTTAACAGTCAAATTATTCCTAAAAAGCACTCCAGTGCCACGAAACGTTACACTTCCATTACAAGGAGAGGATCAGAGTTATCCGAATTATATTTCGTCATTTTTGTGAAACATGGTTTGAAATGCCTGCTAATTTTTGTGTTTTTCTGTTTGCTTTTTAATTATAAATTAAAACATTTTAAAATGTTCTCAACAGTCAGGTCAACAAAGCTAGAAAATCGCGTGTGTTGAAGATGTTTCGTATCATATCTGTCATGATAGTCAGTTGACAGTTGTTTAAACTGTTTTTATATTTCTAATATTTCTATAAAAAATATGCCATTAGATTTGTTAATTGTTGTTTGCAAATTTTGATAGGCTTTGAACTGATTTACTTAAAATTGTCGGTACGCGTCTTGTTTTGTTGAAAGTTGATAATTTTCAAAAGTAACTATATCACGAGTTTGTAAGCCAATGTGAAACATTTGGCCTCTAGCTAAACAGATAGAATGCCTACTTTACAGGTAAAAAATTAAAACAGGAAGACTGTCTGTGATCTATCTTTGAATGCAGTTCATCGCTTTTTTTGAAAACTTTAGGAGAGTGGGTATACGTTGTAAAGTATAAAAATTCTCAGGTAAATGTACTAAAAAAATTCTCAGCCTCGGGATTCAATGCCAATGGGCAATACGCATGCATGCGCTGTCCTTTTTGCAACAGATAGTATAGCCTCCATGCATGAATGAAGCAAAAGAATAACAGCAATATATACAGTATAAAAATATAATTTTTGCTGATATACACAAATGACATGTATATTGCGAATATCTATAGCTGTATACATGCATTGAATGGATAAGCCCAGTCATACTCACAATATAGACATAACATTTTAGAGTTTGGTGCCCGCATACTTTTATATAAATCCGTATATACTTTACAAAATAAAAATCCTATTGTATTTATATTATTATAAAGAACATCAATCACAGTAAAGCCAATGGCAATGTCACAATTCAAGGCTGTTTATCAAGTTTATATTTATTATGCGCGGTGTCTATTATTGACTATTGTCTATAGGCTAAATATAACTAATATCAGAGAAACGTACAGGCCGAGTCTCTGTGGCTAAGTTATATACCGTATAATTAATACGAAGACACTGTACTTGTTATTCCTTTGAGTAGCTGGCTGTTGTGGTATTATTTTACCGTGGATTTGATAACAGAGAGGTATAATACTTCGACATATTTTTTGATCGTTGAATTTCAGTGAAGCCAATGCAGGAAATTACACACCGCGAGGTCTTTAATTAATATTGTTACAAAGTTTACAATTGGAGATTTTTCGGAAATCATAAGATCCCTCTAGTCGTTATTTAATAAATCCTTTGGGTCGAGTATCTGGATAGACTGGGCAATCTGGAAATATATTATTACCTCGTTTGTTTACCGCGACGTGTGACTTGTGTCCGTACGGCGTAGTACATATTGTAGTACGTCTTAATACTAAACGCCTTGAAGTTGTTTAACCTCCTTTATTCGCATAGTCGGCAGATCAGGCGAGGAAGTTCATCGTCACATCTGTATCTGTCACAAGATTCAAGAAGGTTTGCAACGGTAGATTGTTTCGGACATAACAAGCAATTGGAAATTGGCTTTGTTGTACAAGTTCTTTAAATACTTGGCTTCGCAAACACTTCGACAAAGCGGTCGACATGTATTGGATGGCACACTACAAGATTTGTATACCTTTTAGGAGGTTAGGAGGTTACAATATCTTTTTGGCAACGATAAAAGTGTGCTGATAGGCGTGCTTTTGCTTTTGTCTATTTTTACATTTGACAACATCGGCAATAATACCCTTAATTGCCACTTCTCCCTGAGTATTTTTAAAACGCTAATTGAAAACACCCCAGGGTTTGGGATTATACGTGACCAGCCTCAACCAGGGTCTTTCCGCCGCGGGAGGGCGTGCGAAGGTAAGAATCTGGGTACGATGTTGTACATACATATGATGGTCTACCATATACCACAAATTCCAAACCAATATAAAACAGTGAAGATCTTCTCCGGTCAAGGAGTCGAAAGGAACAATGATGTAGCGCGATCTATTGTTCTTATAGAAAATCAAATAAATGGGATCTCACATCAGACATTTTACTGTTAGAATCAAGACATTGGGATCTTGGTCAATATGAGAGAAGTAAAAGAGCTTATGAAAAAACAGATTCAGATTATTGGGAAAAGGGCATTGTTGAAGCTAGGAGGAAAAAAAAATCAGTGACATTCAATTATACCACATTTCGACTGTTACATGTAACTACGTTTTGCATCTAATTATTACTATTTAAAGTGCCTATCACCCATTTTGTTTACCTTTTATTCGAACAGTATAGTTAATTTAAAAACAAGTATAAATTCGATTTTTTTTTGAAAAATGTTTTCCCCCATGATTTTAATGCCAAATCGTTACAAAATTATAATGTTGCCCCAGCGCATCGGAGACTGGTAACCTGGGACGTAGCACGAGGGACTCGTGTTACTCGTGTTGTGTTTGCTACAGTATAAATATACGAACAGAAATGCTATTTCAAGCTTATTTTCGGATTATTTCATTGAAATTTACGTCGATAATATCTAGAACGTCTTCCGGGTCTGACGATGACTCGGAATATAACTATATTCCGGGTACCTATTCGCTCATTGAAACGGAGATTATGCAAGCTTCAGAAAGTGACGATGGCGATGTAGAACAGTGTGAACAGACGAGCTTTGCTGGTGTAGAACCGTACTCAAGCGAGCCTATAGCGGATGAAAAATGGGTTGAAGAGTACAGACAACGACAAGCAGAAAAAGAACAAAAGCTTGCAAGTTTGAAAGATCGTTTAGCTGGAAAGAAAGCCTTAGTAACTGGTAAGTCTGAAACAAAACTAACATGTATTTTTAACATTTTAAATTCAATGCCAATATTATAAATCATTATGTATAAATCGCTAACCCATTACTATCACATTTTAGGTGCTCTTGTGATAAATGCTCAATAACCCTATTGCAAAATCCCAATGAGTGCTTATGTTGTCAAGACATAGAGCAATGTGTAGAGTCCTTATCTGATAAATGGGTGCGTGAAGATTTGCAAAATGCTCCAGAATGTATAACATTACATCTAGCATTTGGAACTGTCTGCCTTGATAGATAGGAAGCAGCTGGGAAGTACAGGACCATTGACAAAAAGCGTTATCTACAAACTGGTTCAGATGACGCGTAAGTCATCTTGACAATAATTCTGTATTTTTGTTAATTGGAGGTGTTAAGGTGTTTACATCAGCCATATAATAGATTATATATAATGTATAGACCACTAAGACCAGTAGGGTTAATTTTCACCTTGGTTAACATGGTATAAATCCCAAGAGTACCAACCATGTAGCATAAGATGTTGCTTATAATCAATGCTCATGGGAGTTCGGATTGCAATGATCAATTAAAATCCATTGTGATAGCTATCCTGAACCTTTCTAAAGTATTACCAATAAAGTATTTTATAGTGGTCTTTTCTACTTTGTCATTGTGTGTCATAACTTTGGTCATATGAACGAATTTCTATTTTTTAGATTTATGAGAAGTGTACCATACCGTCAATTTATACACCGGGTATATGAGCATGTTGGAAAACACAGGATTCCACTTCCTGCATGTGCCTACCATGCAATAAGGAGCAACTACCAACCCAAAGACATTTTGTTGGTTTTCAAGATGAAGACATGGAGAACTAAGAGTGATTACCTCATTAATGTATAAAGTTCTCCCCTTGACAAGTAAAATTGTCTGGTGTTATACAGAGTAAAATAATAAAGTAGCACATTTTTTGGAGACATCTATTCGTAGTTAGTTTGTTTGGTTAACCCTTTAAGTGGCAATGCACCCTGATGTGCCCTACTTTAGTATTTTACTCTGTCTAACGCCAGACGATTTTACATGTCAAGTGGAGAGTGCTGCCACTCAATGGGTTTGCACATTGCCTTTCCCTTAACTTATCAATTTGTATGTCATTAAACAGAGTAAAAGAATAAACCGGAGTGCATTGTGGCTTAATCCACTAAGCTCAGATGCAGCCTACATTATTCTGTTCCTCTGTTTAATGACATACGTACAATTTACATACTTTATTTGTCAAGGAAAGAGCCTTGCCCATTACTTGATTAACCAAATTTTCCATCTAATGCCAGAGGATTTTAATTGGTAAGGGTGTGATAGCCTTGTGCATTAGATACTTGTAATTAACTTGAACAAAATAACTAATTTTACATATTTTTTGGACAGTCCTTTACATTTTTATGTCCTTTCATGGGAGTTTGCATGACCGACAATACCTTGGCTTTCGTAAAACTGTTTGAGTCATTAAAGATTCATTCACTAGAACACAAAAAATATGTAATCAGTTGATATCCTCAAAAATTTCACCGGAGAGAACAATGTAAATATTCTTCTCTTGTTAATTAAATGTATTTTTCAACTTGTCTTTTGCTTATAGAATATACCTTGCACAGTCCTAGGAACTTCTTGTACAACCATGGATTTCCTCTTTTTCCACGACTGCGTTGTCGTGTCCCTTGGCTGTTTTTCCAAACATCGTGTTCATTGGGGCTGGTGTCATTGCCTGCAGTTCAAATTTTGCTGCTTCTACAATCTCTTGCAAAATAAAACGTGCCATCATGATTTTGTAAGGCTTATCCCCCTTTCCCCCATGCAATGTTGCGATTTGAAGTCGAAATTAACAAGGAAGGCCTGAAACGATGCTAACAGTCACTAACCAACATTGAGAAGGGTGCGGGAGCATGGAGTATCTCGTTTATTTTGCATAAGATTGTCTAAAATAGGAACGTTTGGAATGCACACTTGGCGCAGCTCTGATTGTGTAAGACGCGAGTGCAGATTATTACTAATACGGGAAGTAAAATTTACTGAGAATCATTCAAAAATATTATCACGCATGTTTGAACAATAACACCCATGTATTTTATGTTTATTTCTGTAAAAACGTTATAAGATGTGTAACAAAACAACTTGTCAATAACTACATGTATATTTATAGTGCGAATATGCATGCAGTTAATTATAGAAGTAATGAAATTGACAACACAAAAATTCATAATCATTATGAATAGACTTAAAGATTGCACAACAACAATTATTCTCATAGCTGTGGTTATCAGATGTACAGTCAGTAGAGTGGGGTGAATTTCGTAGTCTTTTAAATTAAGCATCAAATGGACATCGGAGATCAATTAGATAACGAGTCGCTTCGCGATCGCCAAGTTAGAAGGGTTTATTTAATTACATACAGTCAAGTCAATGCCGATATGTTTCCAACACGTGAGAGTTTCGTCAGCATAGTTTAAGATGCATTTACTGCCTGTAATATACAGCTACTTCAATGGGTATGTGCAAAAGAAAACCACAAGCAGTCGGGATTCCATTTTCACATGACCGTGAAGTTGTCCGATAGGCACAGATGGATTAGAGTTGGAAATTATATTGCACAGAAACATCGCGTAAATGTCAACTTCTCCAATCGACATGACAATTATTATTCCGCATGGAAATACACAACAAAGGAAGATTTAGAATATATTCAGTCAGAGGGCCATCCCGATCTTACTAACGCGCAACCACCCCAGACCACGCGAGCGAGTGCAGCATGGCGCAGGGGGGCAAAGAGTGGCACAACACGATGGTGGTAAAGCGAAAACCCGCAAGCGTCAACTGAGTGTCTACGAAGTTACTCAACTGGTGGTGAACAAGAAAATCAAGTCACGTCTAGGACTTTTGTCTTTTGCGCAAGAACAACAAAGAGAAGGTAAAACCGACCTCGACCAGTTCATAGCCAACCGGGCCTCCAAGGCAGTCGACGAAGCAATCCGAGTGGGATGGGAGTTAAAAGAAGCACCAAGTCTGGTAGTTCGGTACCGGCAAAGTCGTTTAGAGCGTCTTCAGGTAGCCTTTGAAGGAGATTGCATCTTAAACTGCAACAAGAAATGGCTAGACCTCGCGAGAAATATACTCATGCGAAACAATATCGAGATATCTGAGTTTGTAGGAGCTGTACGGTTACTACTAGAGAAAGGACGGGGAAAATATCGAAACATTTTAGTGACAGGGCCATTTAACTGCGGAAAAACGTTTATCCTAAATCCATTGAATGTAATCTACGACACATTTAGTAACCCTTCTAGTACAAGCTTCGCGTGGGTTGGAGTCGAGGGTTGTGAAGTAATATTTTTGAATGATTTCCGATGGTCAGCGCAGATTATTCCCTGGCATAATCTCCTATTGTTGCTCCAGGGACAGATAGTACGCTTTCCAGCACCGAAGACGCACTATGCTCAAGACATTGTCTTTGAAAAAGATGCCCCAATCTTTGCCACGGCCAACGAGCAGTTCAGTTTTGTGCGAGGGGGTGCAGTTGACTGTGTAATTGAAACCGAGATGATGAGAGTCAGATGGCGTTGCTTTTAGTTCTTCTCGCAAATCCCGCAAGATGAACAAGTGGATATCCTATCATGTCCGCGTTGCTTTGCAGAGTTTATTCTTCATTGAATATTTGAACTGTCTATGTTGTCTATGTTTATCGTACATACGTTTTAGCGAAAATGCATGCAATTAGCATACTAATCAAGTGCATGCAATCAGCATACTAATCAGTGTTCATATCTGCACGTGACGGGTCACCATTTAAGAATCTCGAAATTACATATTTTGTTTCTCTTCTACAAAGTTTGTTGACTAATTCACTTAAACACTACAAGTTATTCAACAAATGCTAGAATTTGGAAACGATTTGAAGCATTGTATACGCAGAATAAACGCAATAAATGTCATTCACAAGCGTTCTAGATATAACGTGTCCAGCGTCATAACTTTCCACACCTACAGTACTTGACATAGTATGTGCAGATTTATTGTTGAAATACAATCTCTTGCAAAATAAAACGTGCCATCATGATTTTGTAAGGCTTATCCCCCTTTCGCCCATGCAATGTTGCGATTTGAAGTCGAAATTGACAAGGAAGGCCTGAAACGGTGCTAACAATCACTAACCAACATTGAGAAGGGTGCGGAGCATGGAGTGTCTCGTTTATTTTGCATAAGATTGTAGCTTCTTATTTTGTTTGGCATCAATAAACATATTGAAAATTACCTCAACATAGTCTAGGGAAAAGACAAAAAACCTTTAAAATTTAGGAGCCACTTGGTGGTTTCTAAATTGGATTGTTTGAATACCATAATTGGTTTCACTTAAACGTTGCGCACTGTAGCTTCCCCATTTTTGAACTTTGTGCAGACCACTTGAACCTGCTCACTGCCATCTTTTTTTTCTTGGTTTTTGCGGTGGAGGTTGTGGTTAAAATGTACAGCTGCGATGATATGCCTGGAAAATAAGATAATGCTATAATTTTAACTGTTGAAACTCAGTTAAGGGGTTAGGGGGTATGGTTTTGTCCTGTTGAAACTCAGTTAAGGGGTTAGGGGGTATGGTTTTGTTTTGTCAGGAGGGGTTAGGGGGTATGGTTTTGTCTTGTGCTACATATCACTCGTACTCTCAAAATTGTCAGCATTGTAGGCTAGGCTGCACTTTCAAATGGTATTAGTGAAGTGGAATGTTTGGTAAATTGTAACAGTTATATAATTACTGTCATTTACCTGCAGTACAGTCCTTGATATGAGTAGGCTGTCAGTTTGGGGGCAAACTGGTTAACAACAGAATGAAAACCCTCCAGACAACTTGTTTGGCCAACTGGTGATGGATCAAAACAACATGGTATTAGACAGAGTAAAATAAGTTAGGCCAAGGTACATTGGATTGGATTACACTAAATGCATACCTTCTTCAAGCCATTTCCTGTCTGATATTTCCTCTCCATGAGCACACTTGTTAAAGATGCCATTTGGGAGATTTGAGTGCTTTGACAAGATGGGACAAGAAAGATTCAAACGTAGCCCAAATCAATTCACCATCACCAGACGGGGTGGATGTTGCACTCCACATCAGATGGTTTTCACATGGCTTTATCCATATTGTTAGGCCTTCACAGTCTTTTTCGTTACTAATCTTGGTAAGAACTTTGTGTATTTCTAAACAAAACATTGTGTAACTTTAAATTAATTTTAAACACAGTTTCCTCAACTCCTATTTTCCTTCCAACTAGTTTACTAGAGGGTGGTGTATTCAACTGTCAGGTTTCTTGAAGGAGTCAGAATGACAATGGCATTACAAATACTTACTCTTCTTGAGATGCCACAGATCAAAATAGTGCTTTATATGGGCAAGATTTTCCCGAAATATGTTTGGCTATACCAGTGTGACGATCAGTGATGAAGGTCTCAAAAAGAATTCCCCAAACCAGAAGGCTGTCCATGCAGTTTTTGAACCCCAGCAGCTCCATTTCCGGACTGTTACCTGCTATATTTCTCCATTATATAAAATAAATGAGGATATAGATTAGTAAAGAGGATAATATGCTTTTTAGCTTGTAAATTAGTAAGGCTCTGACCCCATGTCAAGTAAAATCATTGGCAGTAAAAGAATAAAGTGATCGGGTACATTGTGCCATTGGCAGATACTGGCGGTGTTGCGAGGTTTTTTCCTTCATTTGGGTATTAGGTTTCACATTTGTCAAAAAAAAAGAGTCAGCCGTGTTTTTATCTCTGCAACATTCGCTTTTGTCATTTACTTCACAGTTACCTAACTGTTTCTGTAACTAATATCATGATAAAATGACTTATTTTCCACTTGAAAACGCTACAGTAAGTACGTAAATGTGGGTGTCTATGCCTATCTGAACCAAGGATAAATTAATGTTGAGGGGAACTGTGAAACAGAACAATGTGTAGGCAAAGTATTTCGCACTGTGACCAATGCTGTCATGCTTGCCATCACCAGCAATTACTAGGGATTTTCCTGTTGCTTTCAGCTTGGCCATCATTTTTTCTTGGTATTTTGTCCAGTACAAATGCACAGTGGGGAAGAGTTTGCTCTAAGGAAATAGTTAAAAAAAATGTGTCATTCAGTTACATTATATGTGTTACTAAAGCCAGTAGTTCATGTACACACACCCTGACCCTGTGTTAGGACCTAAAAATTGGCATACATGAAGTAGTTCCCCATCTGCATATAGCCATATACTCACAGCCTGATGTTTGAAGTAAGTCTTCAAGGAATTGCAAGATAATCCAATATTCTTGAAAACTAGAAATATTTTGGATGGTGAAGCACCAGACACCAGGACTGAAAAACAGAGCAGGAAGTCCATTGCTGGCATTTTTTTTGCTGTCATGATTGGCTGATTTTTCCAGGTATTCTCGGGAGATGAACAGTCAGGGTTAAAGCACTTTGTTGTTATTTTCACCATAACACCAAGAACACTCGTTTCAATAAATTTAAAGGGCTTCTCTGATTTACAAGCTGGACATACGTTGAATAGGAGCAGTAGTTGAGACAAGAACACAATGAACTTTGGCTCGGTTCGTAAGTTTTCTGAATTATCTAGAGTCCTATAACAATGAGAACAACAAAATATATCTACTAATAAACATAATTCAAGACTAGAACATGCTCAACAGTTCTAAATTATACTATAATTATTATTAATACTGGGAATAAATTACACACAATATAACCAAGGCTAAATTTCTATGCAATTTACAAAGTGATAAATATCCTATTACAATAAGTTTTTTTTACTAGTAATTAAAAATGTTTAGATTTCCCACTTCTGACTATCATTAAAAATATTTACAGAATATAAAATTGGGCTGTTCTTAAATCTGCTAGTTTTACTATAAAAATTGTGAGAACAATCTTTATTGGATCTTGTTTTCCTTCTAGCTACTTGACTTTTCCTTGGCGGGAGGAGATGATTAAGTTTGTGATTTTCATGGGATAGATTTTACATTCCCACAACAGATACTCCTTCTTGCTACTTGACATTTTATTAATATGTTAACGTTTTATTATGTGCACAATGTTTTAATGTCCTGATGGAAAGCCTTGATGTATGTACACTGATGTGCCCTACTTTATTTTTTAACTCTGTCTAACGCCAGATGATTTTGCTTTTCAAGCTAGGGAGGCGTGCTGCCATTTAATGAGTTAAACGTACTTTATAACTAGTGGTTCTTCATCATCTGAAAACAAGTCTGATTCTGACAAATCTGCTTCTGGAGCCGATTCAGTAACAGAAGCCAAGCTAGGTTCAGGAGACGAAACTTCTGAATAGTCAGGCTTCTCTTCAATGTCCATCTCTTCATCACTGTTTACAAAGGTTTCGTCTTCTAATTTCTCCTCCATAGCAGCTACTTTGGCCATACTCTCATCTATACTCTCTGTAGTAGAAGATGCTAACTATAGTATAGAGCACTACAAATTGTTGTGCTTTTGATGTTGAGGTATTCTCACCTTTTTGTTTTTGTATTGCAGCCTCCTTGTCTTGGATTTTTAGTTTAAGATCAATAATCTTATTGCAAAGTTGGCGGTTTTGGCTTTTCAATTTCTTACAACCTAAACACTCTGGTGTTTGGCAGGAAGCCTCTTCGGTCTAGAAAATTATAATTGAAAAATTTGTGATATATTTTCAGCAAACATATTTCTAATGGTAAATTTGCAAATTTGAATCGTTCAACTTACAGATAAAGGTTGTTGGACGAGATAAAGGCTGTCAGATGTAACCATTTGATCATCGACCAACCCAGGCTCCAACACGAACTCATCAGTAGTGGATGTTGTTGGGGTACTAGCTTCCGCCTCACTGGTTTTGGCAACATTTTCTTTTAGTAGTTCTCTAACAGCCTATCCAAACGAGAAGGGCATGTTTGTGAGTTGACTATACAGAATGCGTGAATGAATAAAGCGGAGTGAATAAAAATATTGTACTTACACGGCGATGCTTTCTTGTTGAACTTGAATGAGTCGGATCGACACTGTCTTGGCTTTGGTCATGTTTGTCGTAAATAACCTTTTCGTAATACTGATCGACTAACGAAATCCGTTCCAGGTATAGTCACAAATGGACTTTCAAAATCTTCGGTTTGAAAGTGCTGTGAACAAAGCCGAGAGTTTGCTGTTGGCGACCATTTTGCACGTTTTGTCCCCACAAATGCAACCCAAAGTCGTCGTCTTTTCTTCTCTAAATCGTTATCTTCGGGAAATTTATAAAAACCGATATTTTGTGAAGGGTCAGGACCATTAGAACAACCACCAGCTACACATCTATTAGGCATATTCTTTTATAAAACTCGAAGAAATTTGCGCGTGTAAAGCTAGTAGCGGAATAGATGTAAATACAAATTGCAATTGCGAATCCCTCGTGCTACGCCACTAGGCCCAATCTCTTCGTAAATCACTTCGCACGGCCAGAAAGCTTATATATTTAAAAAATGCACTATTTTCACACCGTTTTGACTAAGAAAAAGCATAAAAAAGGTTAAAAATGGATTTATTTCCGAAAAATATCATTACTAGTATGCTCCACTTTCAAATTGTGAAATAAAAAAAATTGGGTGATAAGCACTTTAATAATCTATCCATACAGTGTGCATTGTTTTGTCTCTGAATTAACAGTTAACGTAAATATTAATACATGTGTAATAGTAGATATAGGATGTGTGCACTCCCAGTTCGTCTACCCTGTGCATCCATCTGCTTAGCACTGGAACCATCCCTGTATAGATAAACAGCGTCTATGTTCAATTCAAGATATAAGCAGCTGTGCAGAAACATATATTCACTTTCTCCCGATACTAGCGAGGTAATAACTTCACTTGTCCAGTATTATTTTTGATAAATGTCTTTGGCCCCCAATGCAGAAATGGTTTTGCTAATACAGCGGAAAAAATTATTTTACCATCACCAAGTTGATCTGCAAATTTATCCCTTAACCATGGTATATGGCAACGACTAAAATCAATCAAAATCATATTCGAACCAACCCTTGCGTCGACTAGCTCTTTCTTTATCAATGAATAAGTGCCGAAAGACATCATGCTTCATTTCTATGCTTATGGCAGTATCTGAATCCCCATGTTTGGATCTCAAATGGGTTAATATTCCCAAACTTAAGGCTTCCACACCATTTCGTATTTTATCAGCTGGAATAACAGGCTTTCCAAATGATGGGCTTATATACAGGGGGCTTATACATGGACAATATTTTGTCTTAGTGTAATAGTGATAAATTAACAAGTGTAGTAATAGTGATAAACAACTGTTAAACAAGCATAGTGATAAATTAACAAGTGTAGTAATAGTGATAAACAACTGTTATACAAGCATAGTAATAATAGTGATAAATAGTGGTACTAGTGATAAGCAAGTGGGCTTATATTTGGATGGGCTTATATTCAGAGGGGGGGGGGTTATATTTGGAATGAAGTGAGCATTAGTACATGTGATGGGCTTATATTCGGAGGTTTACGGTGTTACAAAAATGGGAGAAGTTTGAAAGGAAACACACATACTTCATCGTAATGCAAATTGCAAATTCGTTTAAGTTCTCCTCCGGCTCCCAGGAATCAGTTAAAGGGCCATATCCCTTCCAGCGGCACAGATAGTACAATCAGTTTCAAAAGTCTTGGGACAGATGCCACAAAACCTTTGAATTTCAACAAAACGTCAATCCCCCCGCCCCTGTTCAATGTTGTGTCCCATTTCTCGTCAGGTTTGATGTGTTTTGGTTGAAGCAACATTGATTGGGGAGGGGGGGGAGCGGTATTGTGTGTAAAAAACTGTAATGATCCACTTACAATCTAAAATTACATGTGTCCCAACAACTTCTGAAAGTGATGGTAGGTCTGAAATATTAAATTAACGGCGTATTAACCGAGCGTGAGGGCTATACTGTGAAATATCAGACCGAGGTTTTTTAGTATGAACCGAGCAACGAAGGAGCGAGGTCCATGCAAAAAACAGAGGTCTGATATTTCACAGTACAGACCGAACAAGGGAGGTCATTAATCGGTTTATTATATGGCTGAACTGGGTCTGTTAGCATATGCTTTTCGCGCGAATTTAATCGGCTATCGTCAGTTTCAATGGGTAACAATATACGGTAGGCATGCTGCATGCTCAATCAAAAACCATTTGGTTGTTTGAAATTTTTATCTGTAAATTTTAATGACACGCAAGTTTGCGAAGGCGAAACATCTAAGAAAACCATCATACACATTTTCTGTTTGCAAAGCAAAAATTTCCCCCCAGATAAACGATATCCGGTACACCGGTCCAGATACGGAAAATATGGACCACGGTCAGGATATGGGTTTTTACGGACCGCTTGTCAACCAATCAGAATAGAGAATTTTGAAAAGCCATATAATAGTAGTAACTTGCTGACCGAGAGTGAGGGCAGTACGGGAAAATATCCAACCGAGGTCTTGCTGTATTGACCGAGCGATAGCGAGGTCAATACAGCAACACCGAGATTGGATATTTTCCGGTAAGGCCCGAACGGTTGAAGCATTCACGTTTGTAAATAATGGGAAAATAGATCACTCGAGCGCGGGGGCAAAGTACAAAGTCCAAAACATTTGCAAAAGAAAAAGCAATTGTAAAACATGTTCTATTGCTTAGTAAAACTACTCTACAGAACTTTTTATATAGAATACTAACACAGTTTGGATAGTATTTCAAGAAAAATACGAGGTATTTCGGCATTTAATCAAAGACAACAAATATGAAAACAATAAAATTAATAAAGAGTATGGGAAAGTACGTTTTTAGTTCGTTCTTATCTGACAAAAACAGAAATTTTCAAGCAAAAATTATAAATCTGTGGCTGCTTTAGTTGTATTTTTTATTGAGGATGATGTCAAATCCCTCCTGGCTATATCTGCAAGTAAAATTTGCAGTTCTTCACACAGTCAAAACACAACTATTCCCGACTGCTTTAATTTAATAGCTATAAACATTGTAAAATTTACCTTGTAATTTCGACTTTTGCTAACAAAAACGTATTAAGAAAGTTCTTTAGCCACAGCAGTTGCTCCTTTTCTTTATTTTATGTTTATTTTTCTTCGTTTTGAATAGTTTTAGACACATTTTGCCGTTTGAAAATCGGCTCTCGTTGCAGAGCAATAAAAATGGCGTATTGCCCCTGGGCAATACGGGAAAATCCTGCCTCGTCATCAGCCAATCAAATTCATCAAAACAAATGCTTGCCATATAATAATAAGGTATATTATATGCTTGCTAGTTTAATATAATTATAAATTATTTCAATTGAACAGAAGTTAAAATAATCTGAAGTCTTGAATAAATTGCATATATTCGAACAAACCTTTCTCCGAATTGTTTTTGAAGTTGCGATACGTTCAACTTCAAAAAGCTTTCCTTTCTTTCTACTTCCTCCAGTATAAAGATATAAATCTTAAGTGCTGGCTTGGTTTAAATCCCGATAAAAGCCAACACTCCGCCTGGTTCGTTTTGCCGACGCCGTCTTAAAAGTTTAATTTTCCGAGCCCGCATGTCGTGCCGCTGGCTGTCCCAGATTTCTGGCCATGCGGATCGTACTAGTTCTTCGGGTGGTGGCGTTCTGTTCTCAAACATGACACGTTTCTGTTCAACTTGTTGCAAAAATTTCTTACGGTAACCGTTTGACATTAATGTGTTTGCTTTCGTAGGGCCCTCAAGTATCCCCCAGTAAGTTTCTCGGCGAAGTCGGTAGAGTTGTTGACAGAGTAACAATTGTGGTTTTGTAGAGTTGAAAGAATACTTGCAATAACTATGGGACGGAGTGGATTGTTAGGTTTGTGATGTTTGACACAGGGGCGGCGCTAATCCTCTTCGAGTGGGGGGGGGGAGTGATCTTTTGCCGACTGTTGTTTGGTAATTTTGCCGAGTCATTAGCCAATAGTGAGGTCCTGAAGTGGGGGGGGGGGTTCCCAATCCCATTTTCCACCTGAACTTTAGACAAAATCCCAGTCCGAGTTATTGAAATCCCAGTCAATAAAAATCCCTTTATTTATCGGTAGAATAAACAGTTTTAAGACCTTTTAAGCCACCGTGTGTGCAAGCGGCGGACACTTTATGAAATATTCGGGGGGGGGGGGCTCGTGCCAAAGGCACGGAAAATTTTTAAATTTGAATCCCGGAAATGGCATTTGCATCATTCTGAGACACACATAATCAGAAAACCCAAAATTCCGGGCGCCAGAGTATGCCTGTTCGCAGGTAATGCTGTGAATAATACAGTTAACAACAAAAATCATGACTAAAGACACCAAAAACGTATCAAAATTGTGAATCGACTCACATTACTTCAATCCCATTCCCATTTTTGAGGACTTCATTTCCCATTCCCTGTGGCCAAATCCCAGTCCCAGCAACACAAATCCCATTTTCCCAGTCTAAAAATAGATCAATCCCACTTCCCATTTTACCCCTTCAGGGCCATCTATAGTAAATGTGCATGTTTAATTGCGCTTTATTACCCTCTATAAAGTCGGTTTTCCACTAGTGAATTTTTCTGCGCGAAGCGACCCTTTTCCTTTGTCGGCATCCATTTTGCAGCCCTCGAAAAGTCATAACCGTCAAAATTGAGGTCTTAGGATTTTATAATTTAACGTTTGGATAAAAAAAAACAACAAAATTATTTCGATGTTTTCGCATTCCGCAACAGGCAATACATTTCTAATTCATTTCCAATGAATTAAAAATGGAATAATACAGTTTTTATAGTGGAAACACCGCTTTTCATTTTATTTTATACGGCTGCTCCTGAGTTGAACGAATTTGTCTTTTAGGACCTTTTCCATTTGTATTTCTAGCACAAAACAGTTATATATTCATTCGTTTAGCTGAAAATAAGTGGTACAATGTTTAGTCGTTGGTGTATTCTACGAAAATGAGCGGGGTTTTTGCCCGAAAGATTGCGAATATCGACAAACACAAATGGCGGATAATAGCTTCCGGCGGTTCACGAATACTCGACTCGGAACTCAACGTCAGTAATGTGTTACTATCTATCTATCTATCTATCTATCTATCTATCTATCTATCTATCTATCTATCTATCTATCTATCTATCTATCTATCTATCTATCTATCTATCTATCTATCTATCTATCTTTCACACCCGATGACATAAAGGATTTTGCTTCGCAAATCCTTAAAAATTAAAAAACATTGTTTCGTAGCTAATTTTGGTCTAGTGATATTCGTATCATATGTAGAATTACTGTATAGACTCGCAAGTGATTTGGCACTTAAAACGAAGTATTATTCA